ATAGGTTAAATCTGTAATCCCTCATCTTACATGGAATTTAATTAGAAGACAACAATTTAAGAACCATATTGCATTTGGACTTTAAACAGCCTGAATTCAAAAAGCAAAAATTCTGATGTCCTTCCAGGGAGCAATTCCTTTGAGTCATTCCTAGGAAGTGGCTTTGCATCACTGCTCCACTGGAGCATAATGATCCTCAGCTGCCTCCTTCCTCAAAGGAAATATCTTTAATTGGAGAAAGTAGAAGAAAAAACAATTGGGCCAAGTTTTCTCCCAGAGCCTTAAACTGCTTTTCACAACTCATCTATACATTTGTCTCTTCTCCTACCCTTCCACAACCCCACAAATAGATATGTGTGTCACTTATTTTCAGAAATTAGTCATTGATAAGAGACCAATTATCTTTTTCTAAAGCCATTCCTAAGTGTGTCATAAATGCTGGTGGTATTTTAGACAATGCAATTAAGCACTAACATATGAGAGAATTGTAGGGTTTCCTGTACTGTCCTTGTCAGTGGTTAGATCAAACAAAGAATCTTGTGTGCTTCTAGAGTATTAGTTGAAACCTGCTCATATCTTTTAAAAATAAATAAAGTTATATCCTACATGTCCAGTAAAACCCCCTAATAAAAATCTAAGCCACAGACCACTCTCATTTAGACCAACTCCCTATGTCAGATAGTCTTCTGACCTGTCACACCAAATCCCCTCCTGGCACCCAGTGAACTTTCCATGCAATTCCCATTGTTATTTAAATCAAGCCATCTTGCCAGTCACCACGACTAAAAACCTACCATGGGCCCTCCCTGGTGGCATAGCAGGTTAAAGCACAGCACTGAGAAGCTAAAGCTGCTTCCCCATGAGTTCGATTCCTGCCTGCCCTGGAGGGACCACATGGTGTGGCAGACCTCTCCTGGCCCACGCGCTGCTCCTCTCAGCAATGTACTTCGTATATCTGCCTGTTCTACTCCCCACTCTATCTCTGGTGAAGCCTCTCGCCACCCCTGAGCCTCTGGCCTGTACCCCAGTTCTGTATGCACAAATAAATAAATCTTTAAAAAAAAAAAACCTACCATGACCTACAAGACCCTAATTGGTGATCTGGTTCCTGGTTGTCTTTAAAGCCTCATTTCCACCTCATTTCTTCTCCTCATTCATATACTTTGGGAATTATTGTCTCCTTGCTATTTTTGTTTTTTTTTTTTTTATTTCAAATCATGTTGCTATACTTGGCCTCTTCCTCTTGTGTTTCCTCTGCCTGAACACATTTCCAATAGTCAAACGATTGAGTACCTCTCTCATTTCATTAAACTACTTGATCAGCATCACCTTTCATGAGGACCTCTCTAATCATTTCTGTAATGCTTTAGGTTCCTACTTTCCATCAGTTTAAGTTTCTAGCTTTTATCACAATAGATATGTGTTTATTATCTCTCCAGCTCTCATATTAGAATGCAAGTTACTGCTGACAGTAGATACTATGTGTTCAACACTGAAATTCTAATACCAAAAAACACTACCAGAAACATACAGGATTTCAAAAATATTTGTTGAATTTCTGAAATAATGGGTAAAAAATAAAATCCATCAGATTTATTTAGAAGCTAATTCCAAGTCATGTTTTACTTCATAGATTTTAAGATTATTTATTCATGGACCTTTCCCCTCTCCCTTTGAAATGTTACCCATTTAATAATTTCATGGAATCTCAATAAAATTGTAAAATCACATTGCTCTCCCTTAAGCACTTGGCTAAGGGGTATACAACAAACTATAATAACCTCATTTCCTATCCCTGAAACTTAAGTGTGAACCCGATAAATATAGTTATAGTGGGTTGATTTCAAAACCTGAAGGGTATTCCACAGTTGCTCTATTCCATTTTCAACATCTATTTGTTCTCTCTCATTTTGGAAACTGCCCAGTAGTCTTCCATAGGTTTTCCCTGTTTAGCTTTGTTTTAATTAATGAAAGTCTGTTTCTTTTGCTTACAATGCCAAACCCTAACTAATATACATAATCTTTATAAAATATAACATCCTAAATATACAAAATGGAACAGTGACTCTTTAAACTCTTTTTTGTCTCTATTGCTTATCTCTTCCTCCCACACTCACTCTGTTCACACAGCTCCCAATTACATGGTATTCCCCAGTTATCCAAATCCTTCCTGAATGGTAGCATCTCCCAGATGTACCCTTCCCAATTATTTTAAAGTTTCAAAACCACATATCTTCACTCCCATCTCAAACTCTTTGCTCGGAGCTGCTGAACAGAAATTAACAAGTAATCAACATGATTAAGTCAAATCACACCAAGTTATCAATAATCAATACCTTCTTACTCTTAGTCAGACATCCTTACACTTCTTCAAAATAGGTTGCTATTACTCAAATTAACTTCTATTTGTCAGTTTCACTTATAATGACAAAACAAATTTTAGAGAGTACAACGTAGATACCATTTTTAAAATGTGTTAAAACACATCATTAACACAAACCTATTGATCATGGTCAGTTAGCTAAACATAAACAGAGGGCTAAAAGACCAGACTACTTCTCCATCAATAAACAAATTTTAGTGAAAATAATTCTGTGAATATACATAAAACATATACATAAAGAGTAAGTGTTATTAGCAGAGTAACAAAAGATTAACAATGTCACCAAATATGCCTAACAAATCCTAAGTGGATCCCGAGTCCTACTCACTGAGTTTGAGGGTGAGAACAAAACCAAAGGTTTGATTTTAGCCAACAAAATATAGAAGGAGTAATGGAATATACATACCATTGATTAGATCATTACTATTTCATCTTAGCAAATAGAGAAAGTTATGAGGAAGTATGAGCAAGTATCATGAGTCAAAAATCTGTAGAGCATTAGGATTTGAAGGGGCCCCTCAGCTGAAAGCCCTCAGCTGAAAGGGAGAAAGTAAGAAACTTAGTCCTGCAACCACAAGAAACTGAATTCTTCCAACAATACAAGTGAGTTTGGGACAAGACCTCTTTCTCCAGAAAGCAGCCCTGAAGATACTTTGAAGTATTATAAGACATGAGCAGAGTGGGCCCTGCTAAGACTTTCCCATAGAGATTATATAGATAGATATAGATGACATATATATTTGTGTGTGTTGTTTAAGCAACTTCATTTATGACTTGTTACACAGCAATTCAAAAAATGAATACACATTAGTGTACCAAAGACACAAGAAGATCAGAAGTATGTTCTCTAGAAAAACAGAGATTGTAGAGTTAGTATAGGTATTGCTCTTTTATTTACTATCTTATATCCACCTCAAGTATTGATATGAAGATTAATTTGAAATTTCAAACATATGGATTAAGGTTTTGTATATAAATTAAACATCTCATGAAGGTGATTTACCTTTTCATTAACTCTGGGATTATAATTCAATGATTGTCAGTCCCACACATTGGCACCAGTCAAGACCTGCCGTATAAAGAGTCATAGTAGCCAATTCTACACTTGGAGTATCCAGTACTTCAGGATCTCCTCTACTTACCCACATCTTCTCATATCAGGAATGGAATGGGTTCTGGAAATAAGCACCAATCCAACATCTATATTCCAGGGTATTTGAAACTATTTGTTAATCGGACTCTATGAAGGTCCACATAAAGATGCAGTAGTAGCCTCTCTGTCTACTAACTTTTACGTTTATATAATGTACAAGCCTGGATTCTGCTTCTGTCATTAGTCCATTGCTAACATGGTATTAAGCTTTAATTATTTTGTCATTCCCATGCTGACTTCAAGTTAGGTTCACATCCTCATATTTGACCCCGGTCAGTCACTTGATCACCTTCTACATTTCAGCTTAGAACCTTCATTATCTGAAAACTGCTGCCTTGTTATCTTTAAAAATATAGAACTACCACCACCATTAAAATTTCTGTAGTCCAGAATAATCTGAAATCAGCAGTGAGTGATTCATAGATTTCTAGATACTTAAAAATGTTTAAGTCAATCCAATTTCAATCAACATAGTTTAATGAAATAGAACTAGTTGTAACAACCAATAGCATTAATCACTTTCAGCCCTTTAGTGGTTCTCTGCCAGTTAAAGCATACTTGCAACACATTCATTGAGCACATCCTAATTTCTATTTTTATAGTTTACCAGTTTAATTATAACCCTGCATGACAGATGGCTATGATTTCCTTTCCTATATTTCCCTCACACCTGCTTTTCTATAAACTAATTAGTATATTTTTTGTTTGTAAGTAAAAGAACCATAGATCTGATGATTTTCAAAATTTCTGGAATCTCTAATCATATTTTCTCACATTTTCACCTGTATAGGGGGAAAAGTGTTTATACTATAGAATTCCCAGTGTATTCCTTCAAACATAAATGTCTCTTCCTTTCATGCTTCTGGTCTTCCAAGACAATTCTAGCCTTAAAAGTTTTACCCTAGGTTTTGTTTCTACTGCCAATTCCAGTGTCACATTTTACCAAGGTCCCTTTCAAATTTAATTTTATTCACAAACTCAACACCATTTCTGGATATGAGTCTCCATTCAGATTTAATCCCCTTTCTCCTCTCCTCCTCCAGGTAGTTTTGTTACCATCACAGCACAAAACACTCAAGGAAATTAAAGAGGATATAAGCTAAGTTTATTGCAAGGTTCTGTGATGGGAAAGAGTTTAAATTCTATGAAGTGCTGACAAGTAAATTAATGAAATCTTAGACATGATTTTGATTTAACATAATCAGTAAATAACATCTATTTTGCTTGCAACTTAAAATTGAAAATGCTGTGTCACAATTAGATACATTACCAATATATCCTAATATGCCCTGAAGGTTGAATTGCCAAAGATTGCATTCATCTATAAACAATCTCCAGTAATTCCAGCTCTACTAAATCAACCACTAATGCTAAATTACAACTGAAGTACACTTAACAGTAAACAATTTTTGAGTATTTAAATGAATGATTCAATAACAAGAAGTAACATTTTAAAATACTTACAATTTCTTTAAAATAGCCAGGAATTCTACTAACTTCTCTTCAAAATTTTTTGGTCCATATAAAATGCCACCATGTATTTTTTTTATATGGACAGCTACATTGTGAGAATCATCACCAGGTTGTTGGAGTTGACTTTCCTCTGTATTTTCAGCAGGTTTTCTAAACAAGGAAACATAACATTTTATGGTTTTGCATATTGTACAAAGTTGTTTACAAAAAAATGTTATTTTGTTTTCTAGAGTAGAAGTGTACTGTACCTAGATAACTTGGCATTTTTATAATATTTTACCCTTTCAAACCTTGGGGTTTTTCCATCACCAGTAGTGTAGTTATACACATTACTCTATTAAAGTAAAAATTAGTGTATGAAAATATTTTCAATGTATGGAGTTTAACTACACATGTGTTAATGGTCCTAAGTGATTGAAATGACTTTTATAATAAATTAGGTGTATATAATTTTGGGAAATAAGTCAATGGCTAAAAGCATTCGCTTTATAAAAATATATGTCTTTCAGTTTTTGCTCCTTATCAACAATTATAAAAGTCGTTTGTTTGATGTTTGTTTCCAACTGAAAATTATTAACATTTTGTAAGTGGTCATCTTATTTTACTCTTGCTATAGTGCATTATGTACCTAGGTCCCCAAGAGATATATAAATGAATGACCATGTAACATTCATTTATCTAGTCAAACATTTCTCTTAAGAGGTCACTGAAAAATCCAAGGGCAAGTAATCTAGCAAACATTATTCACCCTTAACAAAAAATAGTGGAAGGAATGATAAAAACCCAAGTAATCATAGATTAGTCACCTTTAATTATACATGGAAAGTTTAAAAACATAAACATATGAAAAATAATAATAGTAATCACCACAATATATATACAACTAATATGAGAGTATACATATTCTATATCTTTATTTAATATTACAATGGAACACATACCAAAAAAAAAACTTTTAATGGTCTGAGAATAACAAAGGATTCATTTATCAGGCAAATTAATAACATCTAGAGATTTTTACTGGCATTAAACTTTACTAAAAATTTAAACTACAGCTATTTGTAAAACAGAAAAATGGATATGAAGTTGGGTATATATTTTCTCTCAAATAAGTGGCATGAATTGCCAGTTCAATAAAGATACAGCATCTTTTGTCAATGATATGATTTAAATTTTAATTGAAAAGCACAATTTTGTAAAAGTTGTACCTACTTCTATAAGTTTTATGGTTGCCCAGTACTTGAAGAATTTTTTATGAGACCAGTAGTGATAAAAAATAATTAAGATTTTTTGTGTTGCAAAAAGAAATGTTAAAATGTGCAAAATCTGGGCCTTCCCTGGTGTACAGCGGGTCAAAGCACAGCACTAACACACTAAAGCCGCTTCTGCATCAGTTTTATACCCCCCGGCCGGGAGGCGAGCCACATGGTGCCACAGACCTCTCCTGATCCGCCCACTGCTCCTCTCAAAAGTGTACTTCCTCCATCTTCTTATTCCGCTCCCACTCTGTCTCTGGTGAATCCTCTCACCAGCCCTGCTCCTCTGGCCTGTACCCCGGTTCTGTATGCATAAATAAATAAATTTTTAAAAAATTTTGAATTTGGCCCTCCCTGGAGGCGCAAGAGGTTAAAGCACAGCACTAAGAAGCTAAAAGTCACTTCTACATGAGTTCAATTCCCACCTGACCCCAGGTGACCACATGGTGTGGCAGACCTCTCCTGAACCTCCTGCTGCTCCCCTCAGCAGTGTACTTCCTTGATCTGCCTGTTCTGCTCCCCACTCTGTCCCTAGTGAAGCCTCTTGCTGCCCCTGAGCCTCTGGCCTGTACCCCAGTTCTGTATGCACAAATAAATAGATCTTTAAAAAAAAAATTAATCTGCGAAATCTATGTGATTCAGTGGACCAGTGTTTTCCAAATATTGAAAGTATGATAATTACAAAATCATGCAAAGAATGGTAATATAGCCCATTCATAGCGAATAACATAGTTTAAAGACACCAATGTTTCTAAATTGACCATATTTAAGTCAAAGTTAAAAGGCCTGAGCAAATTCAGGTGATAGTATTTAGGTCCAGTACTTAGCAAAATAAGATTTAGCATACAGCATATTTCACTCACTCCTCCATTATTGCTGTAAAACATGCATTGTTGACCCCATTTTTAGATAAAGAGATTAAAACCCAAGTTTTGATATAATTTTCATAAGGAAACAAAATTTGCAAAATGCATAACTAAAATTCACATCCAAATTAGATTAGTTCAGAGAGGCATCATTACACTTTTTCCTGTGTATAACCTTGGGTTACAGGTCTTGAAAATATTTTTCTTTACAGTAACAAATCTTTTTAACCATCTCTTTCACTTTTTTGTATATCTATGTAAATGTAGTTAGAACCAGAGAAATATATGGACTTTGCAATTATTTGCTGAAGGATTCCTTACTCATTGTTTTAGGAACCAAAGTCAGCCTCATTTCTAAAAATATGGTTACAAGCAGTTACTTTTAGCAGCACTAAGTTAACTCTGAGAGTTTAACTTAATTATCACTAGTAATAAGGCAGTAACAAAGCTATGGGAAATTTCCATCTAAGGTTGTAAATTGGTGAACTGCAGGCTTTGTCTTATACTGAGCAAGAATGCTGACTCTGTCCAACACATTGCCAACATATCCAAAGTTAAAACTGAGGAGTCGAAGGCAAGTTGTATTATAAAATCTTGACAGTCAACATCGGAATCCTGTCATCGCTTATGATGTAAGGAAGAATATTTTAAAGTTAGACAGAGATAAGCAGTATTTCCCTGGTTTCTACTAAATTAATGCCCATGCCAAACTCAAAATTTTCTCTTCTCATTTCCAAAAAGCAATAGAAAATCCACAGCTAGAAATGAACAGTTGGACTCAAATATATTTTATAAAAGAAGGTAGCCTATAAATTGTCCAAAATTTATGACAAGTTATACATATGTAAATATGCAAATCAAATTAGAGATTATTACACAGATTACTAAGGATTAATTGAAATTAAGTTAAAATTTGAAAAGTTAGAATATCTGAAAAGCACTCTTAATATAAAAATGTATTAACATATATGTATAAAATAATTATCAAATACCATGTTCAACATGGTACTAAATTCCCTCTACTCACAAATCAATCAACAAATATTCATTGAAATCCTACTCCAAGCAAAGAAGCTATCTTCGCCTCCATTATCTCAGCTCACAAATATGAATAATTCCAATTTTGCTACTTTAATTTCTACCTAATTTTCCACCCACAGATTACTGATGAATTGATCACATATTTGTATGATAAGGAAATAAATATTATTTAATTTTATATGATCTATGATTTTGCTCAGCTTTCTTAGATTAAATATTTGGTTTTATTTACGCATTCACCTAATAGCTTTTATCTAGTTTCCTGCCCATACCATTTCCACTATCTATAAACACTTTTGCCTTAGAACTGATGCACTCTATCCCACCTCAATATAGGAATGATTAGTGTTGACCACTAAAAAATAAGGCTAGAACTCCATTCCAACCATTCAGCTATACTGTCACTCAAGCTGGGCTTAATTTTAACTTATTGATGAGAAACATTAAATGCAGAGAAAATGTGCCTTTTGAATTTTAAGAATTTCCCTTCTTGATTTTATAGTAATCTCAAGCAGATCTTAATATTCTAGTTAACCAAGGAAGAAATGGGACACCTAATTTTGTAAATGGAAGGACTAGTTGGGGAGATAAAATGATCAGTTTCTTGAAACCTGACACACAATCTGGAAGATGCACTAAACTTTCAGTTACATCTTTTTGAAGCAAAGAAATGACTGACTTTGCATCAGGATGGCTTTCCCTTATTAGTTGTATATGATCTTTGATAAATGGGATGAGTAAGACAAGCCATCAGCGTTTATATGACTTCTTAGATGAAATCGGTTCATCATGTCTATTAATTGGCAGGTACTATCACCTTTTCCATTGAAATATTTTTTTTCTATTGAAATGCTGATCAGTAATTACATGCAACATGAATGGTACCAGCTGAGATCTACCGGCCCCTTAAAGCCTAGATATGATGTCAAGAAAATGCAAAGCTCTCCCTATGATTTCAGCCAGTTCTGCTGGAGATTATATATTCTGATGTTACTTGTCAACTGTACTACTCCCTCAATATTCTTTTCCCACATCTTCTTTACCTAGAAAAACTGACCATTTCTATATTTCTTCAACAAAACTAAAATAAATGCTCAGAGCATTTGTAAGTGTACTGGAGCTCATCAAATGCTGGGGGTATCCTAAGAGATGTTACATTACATATATCATAGTCCATTACAGTTACACTGCATATGATATAACCCATTAAAAGTCTTTTTTTTAAGATTTATTTATTTTTGCATATAAGAACTAAAGTGCAGGCCAGAGATGCCAGAGGTGAGAAGATTCACCAGAGACAGAGTGGTGGGCAGAACAGGAGCATTGTACAAAATAAACTGCTGAAGGGAGCAGTGGTCAGGACAGGAGAGGTTTGCTGCCATGTGGGTCAGCTCCCTGGCTGGGGATGGAACTTGTTCTGCAGTGGCTGCAGATAGCTTCACAGTTCTGAGACTTAACCTCTTGTTCCACCAGTCTGGGTACTGTTACAGTGTTTTTTTTTTTTTTTTAAAGAACTCTTCAGGTGGTACTAATATGTAGTCCAAGCTGAATACCACAGCCATAGAAGATTAAGCTTCCTCAGGAAACATGTGAATGTTTCTACAGCACCCAGGATGAGACTTCTTTTAGAGTGGGAGTGTTTGAAAATCAATAATCCTCATTTTGGTTCATTTCCTCAGTTTCTGTAACATTCTTTTTTTCAATGTGCCTCCAACTTATATCTTCCCCTTCAAATTAGTATTTACTCTGTCCTTTTTTTCTGATAAGATGATAACAGATGGGAGTGCTGAGGGTGATGGAAAAGAACTGTACTTTTAGAGATAGATATTCCTAAAATAGTACAAAGTATCATGACATATGTCTTTCTAAAGTATCTGCAACATCAACTAGGAATTTTTATAAAAAGCAAATTAGATAATAATATGAATTCAGGTCTATTGAAAATTGTTGAATTGTTACCCTCCCCAAAGGGAAAAAGCTATCTCATGCATCAAATGTATGTAGTTAATAGTCTATATTATTTACTATCATAAAATATACACAAATTTAAGGTTAAAGTTTCATTCATCAAATCTTACACCTACAAACCCAGACAGACCTTACGTGGTACCATCCATAGTCAAATATAACAAACTTAAAGATGCAGCATTAAGTCATTACTGCATGACATTAATTGTAGTGAAACACTGGACTACCTTAATAGCTTGGCCACCTCCTAGTTTCTATAGCGATAAGTGCAAGTGTTTTCAGTATCCATTTAAAATGTTACGTATTGCTCATCATCCCTACCTAAACAGTTATTGCTCCAATAAAAAGCATATCACAGTAAAGAGTGATCCCTTCTCACGTATTTTTCATCACATTTAGTGCCATGTCAGAAACCTTGAGTAATAGCATAGGACTCAAATAAAGTACCACTAGTGATGGAAGAAGTGCTCCCAGGAAACAGAAAAGTCATGACATTGCAAGAAAAAGCTGAATTGCTTGAAATGGAACATAGATAACACTGATGTAGGTACCCACAAACAGATGATTCATCTAATAAACAGACAATGTAAAATGACAGTCAATAAATACAGTACAGTATTACAATTGAGCTTAAAATCTTCTTTACGATTTTCTTAATATTTTATTTTCTCTAGCTTACATTATTGTTAGAATACAATGTACAATACATATAACATGCAAAACATGTGTTAATTGATTATTTGTGTTACTGCTAAGGCTTTGGCTCTATAGCAGGATATTAGTAATTCAATTGGGGAAAGTCAAAAGTAATGTGAACTTTCATCAAGGGGTTGGTGCCCCTAAGCCCCAACTTGCTCAAGGGCCAGCTTTGCATTTCAATACAGGTTTGCCTAGAAACAAGTGCCCAGTGCAATATTCTTCCTATGTGCCTTTCAGTTGCCCTGCGAAGTCTTTTATTCTATTTATAACTAGTATGCATTCAAATACCACCACTTACCAGCAACTCATCATTTCCATGGAGAAATTTCTGATGACACCTTATAGAATACTTTGATTCTTTTCATAAATACTGCCATTCATCAGTAAAAGGTAACACTTCTTTGAAAAAACATTTAAATAGCTAAGTTCCTTATCAGTATTTTTGCTCAATATGAAGATAAATTTTCCCTTACTTACCACTCTCCATTTCCTTCACTGCTCACTAGCACAGAATGTGGGGTTCAACCAAATTCAGTATTTGAGTTACTTGTCTTTCATGCACATACACACCACTGTCAACCTTTCTTTTAAAAGAAGACATCAAATTACCTTTTTCCCTCCAATTTGAGAAGTTCAGGCAGTCTGGGCCTTTTCTTCATAAATATTTTAGAATATTGCTTCATAAAATCATCATGAGCTGATAGAAGGGGGCCAGAAACGTGACTTAAAAAAAAAAGACAAATATAGAAAAATTAAATTTTAAGTATGGTAATAACTTCCAAAGGGAAGATGTAACTCAATAAGTAAAATTTATTCTGTACTATTGAATCTAAAATCAAATGAGAAATATATGAAACATAAATATGCTGCATTTCAAAAAATTCACTATAATAAAAATTGATGCCCTCCCTGGTGGTGCTACTGAAGTAGCTTCAGCACGAGTTCAATCCCTGATCCCTGGCCAGGGAGGTGACCCACATGGTGTAGCAGACTTCTGCCTTGTTCACTGCCCCCCTCAGCAGTATACTTCACAGATCTGCCTGTTCTGCTCCCCACTCTTACTCTGGTGATTCCTCTCACCACCCCTGTACCTGTGGCCTATACCCCAGTTCTGTATGCATAAATAAATAAATCTTGTTTAAAAATCCACTATAATAAGAATTGGCTATGGTATACCTTTGTGAGAAATATTTTAAGAAATATATAGCAACTGCAATGGCCAAAATTACAACTTTTGTCTTCTGTAATTGATTAAAGCTCCTACATTATAAAAAGCTTAACCCTTAGGAAATAAGCAGGCAAAATAGAAAGTTCTTACTAAATATACCACATACATCATCAAAAATTCTCTGAAGTGATTCACAGGTAGTTTATATATACAATACTAGAAAGTATACTTGTTAGTGTTGAATCTGAATTATTGTAATGATTTTATGAAATTTCACTATTCACGATTGGTTTAGGACTGGAGGAAAGATGTGTTGGACCAAAAAGTAAGCAGTTTCTCAATCTAGGTCACTGTACTCATCTGACATGCTTATTACAGAGGGTGGAGTCTGGCTGAGTTTAACTATTTTAAATGTCCTCCTCCAGGTGATTCCTATTTGCAGCCAGGTGTAACCTACTGAAAATATTAAAATTGCCAATAACAAGATCCACTGCATATAGCCAATTGTCATTCAGTGTCAGATACGACATTTGTTTCTGGAAAATCTGCCTCATTCAATTTTCAGTTGACAACCACTATGAAAAGTTGGTCAATTTTTATAATTGCTAAGCATTCATCTTGACAGCTGATTAGAATAATTATCAAAAATGATCCACTTAAAAATGAAAACAAACATCTTAGTCAATATTTGTACCTTATGGCGTAAACACAAAATACTCAAGAGAATTTGTTTTTATTCAACTACCCATGTGAATAATAGTATCACACTATAAAATACATACAAAAGTTTTTTTCATTACCCAAAGTACTTAAAACACCATATTAATTTTTATACAAAATAAATACTATATTCTTTACAAGTATTGATTTAATTTAATTGATCCAAACAAAGCCATATGGCAATGATTTAATATAGCATTAAGTATTTTCATTCCCATTCTCATACTATAGAAATCTATTGACCAAGAATCTAGTCTTTTTTCAAAACCAATCAACAGTCATTGAAAGCCTTTTTTCTGTTCATAATTCACATTCTATAATCATCTATTCTACAAAATCGACCTATTATATATTAGGTATTTGTTATATGACAAACCATCATGCTAATATCTTTACATTGCTTTTGCTCACTATATGTAACTTGACAAGGTTGGTATTCATTCTTGACTATTCTCCACCTGAAGAAACTGCAAATTTAAAAATTACCTAATTCATATAACAAGCATGTAAAAGTACAGGGTACAAAGGAAAATTGACTTCAAATCCCATTCTCCTGACCTCTTATGTATACTGTTTCCCTAAGTAAAGCATGATGGTTCTTACTTTGTGTCGGGCACTACTCTAAACAATCTACATGTACCACATCATTTAATCTTTACACAAATAAATTGTCTGCTACTACTATCATCTCCATTTTGTAGACAAAAAAGGAGAAAAATGTGGTCTCTTTATCAATATGGAGGTCATGTTGTAAGATTTATGCCAATCTGTGATCTAAGTTAATTATCTCCTGAGTGATTAAAGGTTCATAACAATATCCTCTCACTTCTGTCATTTTCTATGTATGACTGAGTCACCTGCATCACCTACTCCTTATAAATATTCAGTTCTTGGTGGGGTACATGGATTCAATGTCTGTGACTCATGGTTGTGTCTCCAAAGCAGTGTACCCAAGAAGTGAAAAGTATAAAAGCCTCATAGAGTCAAATGCTAGAGCTATCTATATGCCACTATTTCCAGAAAGAGAAACTAAGTGCTCTATGATGCTATCAAGTTTGTTCATATCACAAAAATCTAATTTGGCAGTATGCTATTTCTGAGTTTTCTGTGTTGAAACAAGTGTTCTATGTGTTAAAACCATCTGAAATTTATATAGGAATTCCTCTATTATGGATAAAAGTAATTAATAAGGACAAGTATGAAAGAAACAAACAGAAATTCAGGAGCAAAGACATATTTAGAATTACAGAGGGCTGGAAACTAGATAATAGATCCAAGTTACTCCTTGATACTTAATTCTTTCCAGGAAATATTTTTCATAATTTTCCAATTTATGGGTAAACACTGCTATAGACAAAATTCAACACTTCACTGCAGCTCAACTGCAAGGAAACTCACCCATAAGGAAAGAAATCCAACTTCTTCAGAAGAAAAAAGGGAGATGTATACAAACCTATTGTTTTAAATGCTAGAACTATAGCTTTACATACCAGAAATCTAGAGCACTTACAGGATGCTCTATAATCAAGTATGATAAAATTAAGTCAGTGGCTGATCAGATATCAAAATGCAGGGACTCTGGTAAAATTGAGAGCGCATGCCCAAAAAAAGAGAGCCATGATTCACTTTTAAACTGATTTTTGTCATGGTTTTAAAAATAAGCAGATTCTTCAGTTTTTGGTATGCTTTTTTAAAAAAAGAAGCCAGAAATATGAACTCCAAGTGAAAATTTCTGAGATTTAGAGGTTAGTAACTGCTATTGACTGAACTGTCTTCTCCCCAGTTCATATGCTGAAACATTAGTCTCCATTGTGGCTATATTTGTAGACAGGGTTTTTAAGATATAAACAAGTTAAATGAGTAGATAAGTATAGAATCCTCATCTGGTATGACTAGTAGCCTTATAAATAAGAGGAAGAAAGATCTGTCTTCAACCATGAGCAGCAAGTAATGCACATGAGTATATATCCAGATATCAGCTGTCTAGAGGCAGATAAAGAGCTCTCACCAGATATCGAATTGACTGGCATATGATTTTGGACTTTCTGATCTCAAAAACTGTGAGAAATGTATTTCTGCTTATTAAGACCATTTATGTTATGCGAGAGCAGATGAAGACAGTAACTTAATAAAATTAATTGCTGTGTGAATGGAAGTAAATCTTTGACCTCTATGCTAATTACATTATTCAAGTGAGGTCAGGGGAACTAGCTCTAGTTATATAAACTTGTCAGGTTCCACAGCTACAAAATACATAGTTACTTCCTGCCTCCTTTCTTAGATTGTGTCTATGATGAAAAAATGGAAGAATCTTAGTTTTGGGATGAAAACAATCTAAATTTACACATAACTTTTTCTACTTTATATAAGATTTAGACAAGTAATTTAAGCTTTATATGCCTCATTTTTCTTATCCACAAAGTGATCTATGCTGAAATAATAATTGCAGAACTAATGTTAACTGATTTCATGGCTATCTATCTCAAATATAAATGATACCCCAAACTGTGTTTTCTTCCTGGGCAAAGAGCTATATTTGATTATATTTGCCAACCTCCCTTGCAGTTAGGTACAATCACATAGCTGGGTCCTAGTTAATGTAAATCATTGGAAGAAAAGTGGAAGATGTGACCACCTGTAGGACAAGCTCATCCAATCTCTCTCCCAACTTAAGAAAAAAAAAAGTCACACAGGAGATTCTCCATGTCTTTCCTCCTTCCAGTTTGAAGTAAATAAGCGGAGTGTACTTAGAAGCCATATAAATGACAGAGGAACAAAAATTGGAAAAGGCCTGAGTTTCTAAACCAGAAGAGCCTACAATCAAATATTCTTACAGTGCTTAATGTGAGAAAGAGCTATTAAAATTCAAGATTCAATGCCCAAAAGTAGATGACTGGATTAAAAAGATGTGGTACATATATACAATGGAATATTACTCAGCAAACAAAAAAGAAACACGTGTCTTTTGCAGCAACTTGGATGGAGCTGGAAAAGATCATGCTTACTGAGATAAACCAGAAAGAGAAAGAAAAAAACCGGATGGTT